CCAAAGAATGCTTAGTTTTTGGCTCATGCAAGGGGCATTCCACCTCAGACTTAATCTATGCCGAATTCAGACTGGAAAAATGCCTTGAGAGGACTGCAGCATCAATTTATTGCAAATGCATTTTATTCATGTCAAGACTTCAGTCTACTATTTCTTTCTCTGTCTTGACCATCTCAATATCCAAAGGCTGTGCTAGCCTCCAGTTTATACTCAGGTGAAATTTTAGCTGTTTGTCTTCAGCTCTGAAAACCTTTCCACCTTGTGTTTCTTTACCTTCTTGACAGCTGAGTGATGGGGTACACTGGACATGCACCTCTGCAGATACACACTGGATGAAGTGTACACTCAGTGTGGTTTCATGTCTGAGGATTCATTAGTCTGTTGGTTTTATCCTTGCCCAATGCCAACATTGTTTCCACCCCCCTCCAGATCCACTACTGTCGCGGGGGATAGGGGTTGGGTTCATTTTTGGAAAAGTAATAAGAGGAGGCGAATTGTCGTTGCTCTCCGTACATTGCATTTTAGCTAATTGCTCTGCCGGGGAAGGATACTGTATAGGAGGTGGAGAAACAGCCACAGATGGATATTTCCTAAGGGGGGGGTTAACAGGGGACACACCCGCCTCAAGGGTAGAATTGCTGAGTAGGAAAGACTGCCCCCCCGCCGCGCCGACCGGAGCCACGGCCGCTGCCAGCCCGCCGCCGCCCGGGGCCGGCGCCGCTGCAGGCACACTGCACGGGGGAGCGGCCGCCGCCGCAGGCGCTCCACACGGCCCCGCCGCTGCCGGTGAAGGCGTGCTGCAGGGGCCCGCGGGCGCCGCTGCAGGCACCGCACACGGACCCGCCGCCGCGGGCGCAGGCGTGCCGTAAGGACTCGCGGCCGCCGCTGCAGCTGCAGGCGCGCCGCGCAGCCCCGTGGCAACGCTCAGAGGAGAAGCAGAAGGCTCCTTAAGATGGAATTCAACCAAAGAGTCCGCAAGGTCGTCCCCCGCAGTCGTCCCGGGACTGTTCTGGTGCTGTAGTTCAGTCTGCCAGTCCTTGAGAGTGGAAAGCACTAATTTCCAAGTAGGAGCCAGCCCCTCCACGATTTCCCTCCGCGATGGCATCTAGCAGCGCTCTGCCAATGTCCTCCCAGGTAGAAATACTAAAAGCAGTAGGAACCGCAGCCTCTCGCCCAGCCCGACGGCACCAAAGCAACAAACGACTTAGTATCGTCGTGTTTAATATCACGATGCTGTAATAAAGCATTCCAAGCAGCAAACACATGCCTTTCATCCGCACTCATGGTCTGCCCCATAGTGCCTAGAAAAAGTTCTCAGGAGCTCACCTGTGCCTTCCAAGTGACAGATACACTTGTGCCTTCCAGGTCACCTGTGCCTTCCAAGTGTGGGAGATACACTCGTGCTTTCCAGGTGTCAGAAACAACGGATCCAGATCCTTTGTGGCAGCCCTCGCCGCTACCAGCTTCCTGAGCCCCAAACCTCACTGTGCCTCACCCCGCAGTTCAGCTGCCTTCAGTCGTGATACCCCACATGACACGGGCACTACTCATCGTCATTTCTTGGGCCTCCACGGGACACCATATGTCACAGGGTATCTATCGTAGTAGTTAGGTTTGGCTGATAGAAAAGCACACACGCACACACACACACAGAGTTGAGATAAGAGTTGTCTGCTGCATCAGCGCAGCAGCATCCTTTATTGGGACAGCTAGCCCACATTTTCTCACACTTTCTGTAAATAACATAATTTCTACAAAACACCAGCACTATGCACCTGCACCATGAACACAGCCAACATTCTTGTCCTTGTACATTTTATCCTCCCTAAACCTACTTATCGCCTTTCTAGTTAACTCTCAGCTTCTCAAGGCTGCACTGTTCATGAGAATGGTTAATTAGCTTCTCTGCTCTCACGGGAACGGTCTTATGCCATCCAATATATTATGTTCGTCTAGGGGTTCAACCTCTAGGGACTTAGTGGGCCTGCCGCTTCCCCCCCACACTACCTATCATATTAGTTTATTTAGGTGTTCACTAGAGGTTTCCTTGCTCTTTCTTATTGAATATGTAATTGCCAGCGGTGGGTGTAACTACCAGTGTTGACAACTGGTTTTATTTGCAAACATGGACTGCTCCCTTAGGCACAATTCCTTTGTTGATGCTGTTTCCAAGCCATATGGAATTATGCAACAGTCATGAGAGTAACTACTGTCATGTCATATTTCAGTCCTTTTTGTAATTTGCATTTGTTCTTATATATGTGTTCAGAACTCAGATATTAGTAGTTAGTTGTACACTGAACTTACTGGGAGCAGATGAAGTTCGCCTCTCTTCCACAGAATGCAAAAAAACCACTGAATAGAAAACAACTGCATTTTGAACTGCACTTTATTTACGTGGGAAGACAAGATCATAGGAAGCAATGCTTTTGCTAATAAATAAATGGAGCATTCATAACAGTCTTTTAAAGTTAAAATCCCCACATCTTCTTGAGAATAGATATTCTTTTGAGACATCATGGGTAAAAAAAGAGTTAATCTGCCTTGGTAGAACTGTTTATCTTGCTCTTCTGTCAAAAGAGAATGAATGGATTTACCCCATCTTTATGCTTCACGTGAGCAGCCAAGCTGACTAAATTGTAGGAGGAAACATATGTACCTGTCATATGCAGCATAGTATTAGGTGTATTTATTTGTACTATGAATATTTGTGATCATTCACTGTGCCATCAAGTATTGCCTTGTGTCACATGAAGCACAGAAGTTGTGTATGGGAATAAACAAGCTGAAGTGACTGTTGCTGTATTCCTGGGATACAGAACAACCTGTGACATTCATGTAGCTGCAGAGGCTTGCCCAGCTGTAGCATCCTCAGCTTCCTCTAAAATAAGAGGAGCTCAGTAAAAAAGAAAGTAAGATTTCTGTCACTTTTAGCAATAGAACTGACTAACTAAATGAGTGCGGTTATTTTCCATCATCTTGGCTGAAAATAAATTTGCAGTGCCTGCCTAAACCATGCAACTCCTCTGAAAGCAATCACGGGACAGCACTTTTCAAGGGGGGAAACTGTAGTGGACTATTTTCAGTGGACTATTTAAAAATAAGCAGATGAAGTTGTATAGCTTTGTACAAAGGTTCAATTTGATTTCCAGCTTGGGGTTTACATATTTAAAAAACTAGGAAGTCACATTTCTTCTGCAATATTTGCAGCTCAATAGTAAACAGCCTTGCTCATAGTGAATAGGAGGAAAAATAAGAATAATGGGTTTTTTGCACCAGTACAATTTACATACTGTCAGGTTGAGTTTTTTTCCTGCATGTTCCAGTCTCAAGACTACTTTGACTTAATGGCTTCACATATGTGCCACTTCTTTTACAACCATATGTGCCTAGTTTTTACTAGAGACTGAGGTTGGGCCCGTGTTTGAGGATTAATGATCCTGTGTTGAGCTTAGTGCTGCCTTGGCGGCACCAGGACTTGAGCAGGGCAGTTAGAACTGGCAGGGGTACGTTTGCAATGTGCCTGAAGTTTGGAGGTACATAGGCTTAGCTTTGAAACTCCTTTCTTAAGCAACAGCTCATGCTCAGCTTTAATTATTGAGCTCTTAGTTCTCCTCCCTGATATTCTCTCCTCCTATGAAGAGATCAGACTTGTTTTCCTTGAGAAGTTTCCATGGCATGTTTATGGCCATGATACCTTATTGCTTAAGGCCATGATACCTTAGTGCTGTAGCATTGCTACAGTGCAGTACAGTCTCTGTTTTCCTTTCAGTACCCCAAGTTTGTTTGTTTGTTTGTTTGTTTTAATTTTCTCCATTTTGGATTCTGCATGTGGCTGCTCAGGAGAATGACATTTCTCTCTTAAGGAGATGTGTGCATTCAGAAGTCAGAATATTTGAGTTGTGAGAGGCTGAGAGTTGAACAAGTATCTTGAGACCTGTATCACTTTTGATGATTTACCTCGCACAGGAAAGGGCTGTGATTCTCATTTTTCTGTATGATGGTGAGGTCTCCAGAGGGAACATCTGTTTCAGACAGAAAAAATAACTGAAAACTTCTTCATCCTTCATTGCTGATCAAGAACCACCCTACTTCTGTGGTGGAAATCCATTTTTTTCAGAGAAGGATTTTTTTATTTAAATCTGTATCTCTAAGAAACAAGTCAAACTTGTCAGCTCTGTGATTAGGTTTACTCATCTGTATAACTGACATGTTTCATCCTTAGCTGAGGAATGTGGGTGGGGGGGAGTCATTTGTAATGTAAGTGAAAGAAAAAATAGTTTGTGCAAAGAATGATTGTTTCTGAAATGTTAGTTATTAAATATAATCTGTTTTGAGTAAAATCCTTGGTATGTCATAAGGCTTTGTTGCAATGACTAACACATTTTTATGGACATTCCAGCTTTGAACCCTCCTATCAAGTTACTGGCCCTGCAGTAATTATTTTGCTTGTATAAATGCTGTCAAAGACTGGTGGGTATTTTGTTTTTACTAATTGTCTTGGACTACAATGTCAGCATCTGGTAGTCCAGTGATACTTTGCCATTTATGCCAACATAAGCTGTTTTCCCCACACATCTTTAGTAAATTTTTTTCCCTCAGATCTTTTGTGCATCTTAGTGATGTATTTGTACACAAATAGCACACAACTTTGTGTGCTATAGTTGAGTCTGTCTCTACAGATGCCAAGGATGAGTTAGTCAGTGATTTACCACTAGAGCCAGGCTGACATCATGCCTATAATGTTATGGAAACTATGAGGTCTCTGGTATGTTTTGCTAATTTGGCTGATGCCTTGGTTGTGTGTCTGCTGTTGTTGCTGTATGGAACATGGCATGAGAATGTGCCATGTTCTTGAGCAGGACATGGACCACTGTGCAAGTTTTTCCAGATGCCTTTTCTGTGATATTTTTGATTGTACAGCACTTGTGACCACTAAGTGATCATTCCTAATAGAGAAAACTTTTGCAAGTCAAAATAAATTCCATGAGAAAGGATTGTCTTGGTATTTGAACTGTTTATTAAGAAGACCTGGCTAGGTCTAGAATTATCATTAAATTCATTGCACAATCTTCACAAACCTCGCTTACATCAATGAAAGGAATTCATGATACAAAAGTGAAAACATCACCACAGGAGAGATGAAGGAGTTTCAAATCAGTGCAGATACTTACAGGTTAGCACTTGCATCACATCCCCTTACGAGTGATGTTCTGCCTTGTAAAGTGGATACAAGCTGAAAAGTAGAGGACAGATTTTTCTGCATAGCAACACTGCTAGAGCTAATATCTAGAGCTAATAACCAATTTAAATACAAATCTATTCAGTATTACCCTAGGCTGTTATGTCAGAAATTTTGATTGACTACCTTTGAAGTTATTTTTGTAAATTTTTAGCTGTAATTAGCACTTAGTTACTGAGCAAGCAGCTAGATTTGCAAGGAAGCTGAATCCCTTGCGCACTGATATCTGCTAAGTTCATTCAGGTGGATTTGAAGAGCATAACAACGGATGCAGTGTGAGATTTGAAGGCTTCCTCAACAAAATATAATTACATTGTAGTATGTCCGACTAAAATATTTTTTCCCCTTTATTTCAGTACATCCTTCCCCATCAGGGCATATGTCTGCTCTTTTGGTTTTGAAAATTTGTTTGTTGATATTATCCATGGAAACAAAATTTCTCCTGAGCATAAAGATGTAATTTTTGCATTTGTCCAGCTCTTTAAAAAAGGATTTTGATCCACAGTTTAGCATATTAAGACAAATGGTATTTCTTAGTGCCCTTTTTGTGGCAAACGTTGTGGTGTTTTTTTCTGACATGATATTAAAGGAAAGCAGACAAATACTTCTCTAATGGCTTGTTTTATCACCAAGATAATACTGAAAAATAAGTTTCTGTTGTCTGAGCTCAGTTAGTTTGTCTTGAAAAAGCAGTGTCATGGGAATTTAGCAAATTGGACTGTGGCTGTTTATTTCCTTGCAAGCAAAGACAAATGCAAATACTATATTTGTTATTTAAAGTTGTAGGATAATGATCTTTAAAATTTCCATATTCTTGGCAACTGAGTGAATTTAGATACATTTTATATTTCTACCTGTCAAATTATATTTATAATTGTGTATGTCATATATATAGAAGAAAATGAAAGTTTCCCATGGTAGACAGCTTGCTTCTGTTTGACACTGAATACTTCCTTCACTATCATTTTAAGCCCAGAAATATCAGCCTGGTAAACTTTATTTGGTGTTTGTGAACTTGATGTTATTTTTGAAAAAGCCACAGGGAGTTTTTTTGTGAAATTGATTGAATTGAACTTGATGTCCAATTCACAGATTTGTGAACTTCATGTTATTTTTGAAAAAGCAACAGGGAGAGTTTTTTATTTGAACTGAAGAACTTTGATGCAATTTATAAAATAAATTTCTAAGAGAGAGGAAAAATAAAAAGTGCAAAAAGGAAATACATTTCACGGGTATGTTAAGGAAAGTGGACAGTTTGGAGTTAATACCATCAGATGTCTGTGAAACTGGCTATTGCTACTGTGTGAATGTACCTACTCATACAGTTTACTCAGTGCTATGTAGAGAGATCTTTTTGGGATGTGATTTGTCTTTATTTTCATCTAGATTTTGTTTTCTGAGTATTAGAATACCCAGAGCTTATAACAGGTAGTCTTCTAACAGAGTGCAGACTTGAAACACAAATTCAGTAGATGTTGGGTAGAAGATGTATGGAACTACTGTTTTTTGTACTCCCTCATGCTGTTTGAGTGTTTATCTGCCTGAGCTTTCTGAGAGCGTCAGGCACTAATACAGGCTGGAGGGTATTTTTGTCATGTATTGGGTGAAATGGTTAAATGAGTATAGAACACACAAGCAATTGATAAGCCGGGTTGCTTATTCCTGGTAAATTCGCACTCAAAAGCTGCAAAGGCAATGCCACTGACTTTTCCGAATACCTGGTGAGCAGGTTGTTAATCCTTACTTAATAAGAACTTGCAAGAGCTTGTGTGGTTATTATTTCATCTGTGACTTTGCAAAGCACAGGTTTAGAAAAGCCACCATAGAGTGACCTTTGCCTCCCAGATCTCATTTCCCATCTTCACTCTCTATGCTAAAATTGCCATATAAAATTTCATAAGGATATTTGTTCTGTCTTGGTCTTGCAGACAAGGCAGTGCAGGTAGATGATGGAGTAGATGGGGAATATTTATTGCAACAGATTCCTGGAAGTTTTGAAGGATGCAAAAAGAGCAAGTAAAGTGGGAGAGGTTATTTTTCATTGAGAAAGGAAACTTCTTGGGCCACATCTCCCTTTAGTATTGTCAAGACAAATGTTTGCTGTTTTGCTTTGTTGTTATTATCTTCCAAGAGTATCCCTTATGCTGGCTGCTGACACACTCTCCAGGAGGAACTCAAAGCTCTTGCCTAGGATTTTTATGCAGGTGTCTTGCCTTCCTGGTGTTGAGGATGGTTCTGGCCCCAGGAACATAGCATGTTTTGCCCCTGTTGTAGATGTTGTGTAACTTGACTGCATTGCTTCACTCTCCTTTGGAGATGAAGTAGTCATACAAACTGACTTTTTTTTGTTCAATACTTGTAAAATGTCCATTTTTATTTCTGGAGTGTTATTTGATGTGAGGATAAAGGTATTTTCTGAAGCAATTTGCAAGTAAAATATTGTTGACTAGTAGTTTTTAAATGTTGTACTTGCTATAGAAAGTGTCATTTTCTTCTTTGGATTGCAAGTACTTCAGCACTACTGAAAATCCAATTAACCTTATAAAAGGAAGAGCACACTGCTATTTGTAGGGAGGATGAAGAATGTAGGACAGAACTAGGTTGAGAAAGGAAAGGATAATATTTACTTGCAGCCATGGTAATGATCACTGGGACACTCTTGTTTCACAAGCTCTATGATAAACACATAAAATCTCTGTGAATAAATGGTTTATATTCTGCAAGCAGCTCTTTTCTGCCTGAAACTGCACTGAGTCTACCACCTGAGGCAGTGTTAGGATATTACAATGCCAGAGAAGCTGATTTTCAGGCAAAATTTGAAATCTAGGTTCTCACAATGTATTTCAGAATTTTGGTGGCAATGCCATTAGCATGACATCATGTCTGTGTCTTTAATTCCTTGAGAGTTTCAGCTGGCTACCTTCAACTGGCAGGACCCAAGGGAACGGCATCAAGCTGTGTCAGGGAAGGTTTAAGTTGGATATTAGGAAAGGTTCTTCACCCAGTGGGTATTTGAGCACTGGAACATGTTCCCCATGGAAGCGGTCACAGCACCAAGCCTGACAGAGTCCAAGAAGCATTTGGACAATGCTCTCAGGCACATGGTGTGACTTTTGGGGCTGTCTTGTGCAGGGCCAGGAGTTGGACTTCGACAATTCTTGTGGGTCCTTTCCAGCTAAGCCTATTGTATGATTCTTTTCATGTTCACCTAATTTTGCCAGAATAGTTGATCTTCCTCTTCTGCAGAGGAACCTCTTGATGGTGAACATCCTTTCACAGTAGTCTGAGATGCTCAGAGAGCACAGTAGGTTAAGGGCATTATTTTCCCCTATACTGGCTGTTAAGCACACGGAGTTGATTTTTAGAGTGTACCTTTTGCACATATGCACATATATATGTGCATGTATACATACATATAAGCATACAGGTTTTTAATAGGAAGGACCTTTCCCCACCTCTAAATCCCAAACCTGGCCTGTGAAATGAATATAGTTGAAATATTTTATTAGACTATTTATTGAGATCCACATGTACAAAGCCTGGAAGAAATGCAGACTTTGAGAAGCTCTTAAAGTGTACTGAGTAAGATGGAAATGAACATGTTGAATCGTGTTGTGTTTTGGTACTTTTGTATAGGTTATGCAGAATTCTACAGTCCACATCTTGTTGGATAGAGGGATTCCCATTACACTGCTAACACATAAAAGAATTCCCAGAGTAATCCCACAGGCTGCTGCTTTCCTGCTGCACCTTGGGATCTGCTCAGAGAACCAACAGCACCCCAAACCATCAATTTCCCCAAGCAGTTCAAGGCACAGGAAAACTACCTTGGACTTGTATGTTGCAATAAATAATTTTTGAGAGATGGATTACTTGAAACTTGGCTAACTGTACTCAGCCAAACATATAAATGTGATGGCAGCTGTGAAAATAACTGGAGCTCCCCAGAGGCAAAGCAGTGCAATGTCTGGGCTGCAGCAGGTGGAGTGAGGAGTCCGTGTTCATAGGTAACTTGTCAGTGGAATTTGATGGAATTTGCCAGAAGAGAGGCTACAGCTGACTGGGACAGAGAAGAAAGAGAGAAGCCACACCTAACTAAGCAGGACAGGTAAGCCACCAAAAATGCCTATTTCTTACCTGTGGTATTTTGTACAAACATAAATTTCAATCCATGACATCAGAACACTGATGTAAAAATGAAATCTTGGGTGGTCATTTATGGTTCAAGTAGCGGTTTATATATTTATTATAATTATACACAACCTTGACAATCTATATTGCCATTCAAAAATAAATTGAAGTATTGTCAATTTGCACATGATCTACTAATAATCCCATTTACATACATAGTAAACATTTTGCATACCTTAACACCGCTTTAAATTCTGACACCTCCATCTCCTCCCCCTTCAACCTGTGGAGATATGTTTATAGACTTTGTAAACAAACTTTTCCAACTATGCAACATTCAGAGAGTACCACCTTTTAAAATCAACTTAAATAAACCATTTCAACACTTTGTAAAGGTGGCTGGTGGGTATAGCTCTTAACTACATTTTTGTTTAAAATGATTCTTCATCGATTTCAATGCAATGATTCCTGGTTTTCACTGCTTGAAATTATTTCCTTCTGACCAGGAAGGAAAAGGAAAACACAGTTTAGCATCTGTATTAGGGAAATCACATTGAGCACATTCCTGGTTTAGTATTCTGCAGTGCTAATAGTCACATTTTGTTGTTTTCACTGTTATTTACATGTGTAGGAAGTGGCTGAAGTCTTCAAATTTCAACTCTGGAGAATTAAGAATTCAGCTAAGAGTCAGCCACCACACAGTCTCTAGCTACTGAGAGCTTGTGTTTATACTCCAAATGCTATCTTGGGAGCTGAACTTAAAATTTATGAGGCATTAACACCTTCTGTTAAGCAACATGTTTTTTACTACCTCTTTTGACAGAGAGGTTATGTCTCCTGGTGCCTGAAAGACTAGAAAACTTACAAGTAACAAAACCCAGAATATTTCTTCATCCACTTATAAACTCAGCTAGTGGCAGCTAATGTAAGCATCCTTAGAACATGCAGACCTTAATACTGATCCACAACTGAAGGTTGGGCATTGGGGCTTCACTTTAGAAGGGCTCACAGAAGTCAGTGTATTGAAGTATTACAGTGTGGTTACACAGCAATGAAAGTCCTATTTTGAGGAAAGAGGTTCTAATCTATGGGAATTGAATTTAGCATCTTTTCCTACAGCAACTGGGTAGGTGCTTTGAACCAGCAAATGCAGCACATTTGCAACACAGCTTCATGTTTTGATGCTTTGACAGAGCTCTGAGAAGTGTAGATGCCAAGGTTTGTTAAGGCTGTAAAGTTTTCGCACTGGTGTCAAAAAATACATAGGAAGAAAAGTCTCCTGCCAGGTCCTTGCTTGTTTCCTGAAATTACGCTTCAACATAATCCTTACAGGAAAATCCCCACTTCAAATATAGAATACTGAAGAACAGTGTAACAATCTGTAGCAGAGGTGGGAGTTCAGCACACTGAGATCTTTAAAAACATTACAGAATTTCAAATGTTGAAGATACAAAGGAATCCTACCAACAGAGTGGATGCTTTACATCAACAGCTTCTAATTTTGCATGGAAGAAGCAAAACCTTCATCCCACACACTACAAGGCATACAGTACGCTGCAGCTGCACTCCAGTCACTGCGGTTCCTGTCCCATGCTGCCATACCAGAGACAGGGGCACCTTGTGCTACCACATGATCTTGTGAGGCAACTGGGTTTTTCACCCAAAGGGCCTTTGAGGATTCTCCCAACTGCCCTCTCCAAGTTTTGCAAGCGTGCCCCAAAGGCAGTATTTAAACATTGGAAGAAGGGCACTGCCAGGAGCAAGCAAGGGAGAGGAGTCTTTATTCAAATTCAGACCAAACAAGGCAGGCAGCTCCTAGTGGGGTATTTTGTCATGGAGCAGCAGCCTAAAGAAAGAACTGTATAAAAGCTTAACTTAAATGTATAGTTAAAAATCTGGTTTTTTACATCTGCATGAATCTTGAAGCAACTCCCGAAATTCTGAAGTACTATAATAAAAAACATGGAAAGGAACCCATGAATCAGTTGTACAATAGCTAGCAGCAACTTAGTTTAGTAAAGAAAATTAACAAAAATTATTTTAAAGCCATTTCTTGAATAAGTCCATTAAAGGTCCATACAGGAGAGAATCAGTCCTCTTGAAAGAAAGATCTTATTAGTAAAATGAAACAAAGTATTGCTGCTGGTTTGTAACTATGTGATTACTGTAATTTAAAAAAAAAAAACAACAAACTCTACTGCCTTTACAAAGATAGTGTCACTTCATTTTTTTTTGTTTTTGTGGGATGTTTCAAAATGAAAACATTTTCAAATGTTTAAGGGAACATTTTCAAACATTCAAGATGTATCTTGCCCTCAACAGAAAGTTCCAAATAAGACATTATTGACAAGTACTTGCTTTTAAAATATCCCAGATGCAGAGTAGCACACTACTGTTGGTTTCCTAACAAATTTTATGTTGCAAAGATAGTCATTCTGGTGCTGTCAGAGTAGCCACAGGGTAACTCACTTTTTGAGTCTGACACACAAAGCCTCACATTCAAGTTGTGCATAGCTTATGTAAGTACTTAATCTTAGATCTGCCTTGGTAAAATCTCCTCTTTGTAACAGAAAACAGATTACATATTAACAAATCATATTTTAATGTGAAGCTCACTGTGGAAAGAACAACTCAAATCCTCAAAGGGATTCCTAACATGTACCTCAGCAACCGGATGCTGTTCGCAGTCTGTGGGCAGCATTCCTCTTCACCAAGGATCTAGAGACAGACCAGATGCATAGCAAAAAAACCCTATCCTAGTAAGAAAACTTTACAATTGTTTGTCTGAACCATATCTGCTTTTAAGCATGCTGTTCTAGACATTATCCTAAGAATTGCTTCAAACATTTCTAATGTAGTATTAAGCTTCTGATGACCATGAGCAGAAGATACTCTGTTCTTGCACAGATTTCTGCTGTGTGAGCTCTTCTGCCAGGCATCAGGAAGTCTACTAGACAAATTAACGTGTAGATGGATTTTAAGCCAGTACTTAAGAATGCTACTCATTACACTGCTGTGGTAAAAGTCAAAAAGATATTAATGGTGTTAAAAGCCTACAGGACCAAAGCTAGCTCAGTCATTACTGACTTAAACTTAGGACAACTGATGCTGAAGTACAGTCACCCCCTCAGTGCCAGAGGTGTGACTAGAGTGGCAGAATTCAAGACTGAGGTTGCAGAGTGGCTGCAGAGCAGCTCTTCAAGGTCACTGTTTTTGTTCAAGGACTTTACATATGTAAACTTACGGTGTCAGCTCATCCACACTTGCGTGCATGGAGGAGCAACAGTCAGTAGAGCAAAGCATGTTCATTTCAGTCACTTGATGTCAGTCATGAAGATGCAATTCTAGAACCTGAACTAGTCTAGCAGGTTTATGTACAGCTGTAAATGGTGCTTCCTTTTTCTGTGAAGATATGTGAGAGTTTAATTTACTTCTACTACTGGTCATGGATTACTTTTTGTAGTATGAACAGTGATGGAAGATGAAGGACATGGCTGGAGATAAAATGGCTGCCAAAGCCAGAAACAAGATCACGATTCTTCACTTGTTTACAACAGCAACACCTCACACAGGAGAACTGCTGCAGGAGTGCCTAATTAACACCTGAACACACCTAAATTTGTTTCTGCAACACAGTTCAAGTCACCGAAGCATTACACTGCAACTAATCCCAGTTTCTTATGCTGACTGGAATCAGAAACCACTTTTCATAGTTAGAATAGCCCATTCCCATTCTGGTAATAGAGAAGTTGTTTGAAGTCAACAGTGACTGGCTCTAGCAAGTGCTACAGTACCTTGGTGACCGACAGATGCATTTGGAATACAGGAACATACACTGGACTCTGACAGTGTTTAAGATGTATCAAAGAAAATAGCAATACATTGTAGACACTTTCATTAGATAACTAAACGACCAAAAATAAGTGGTAAGCTATGCAAGTTCATCAAGTAGATTCCATCTTTGCAGCAGTAATATCCAGTTTTTGTTTTGGTCCTAGACCAAAAGCTTTACATGCTGAATCCCAACGCTTAAATAAGTTCTCAGCATTTCTTTCAAGACTGCACTAAACAGCATTTAAGCAAACTCAAAATCAGGGTGCTGATATCCAGCTTGTGCAGCACCATTTCTGTTGTTTCTCCTTCCCAGCATGAGACACGATGTAAATTTAATTCAAAACAAAACAAGTGGAAATAGTAACAAGTGCAATAAGACATTTTCAAGGGAAAGCTACACAACAGGCCTTGTGAATTCTAACCTTTCATCCTATTATCATTAGCATCATCCTATCATAAGCACAGTACATTATGTACAGCGGTGTGCACCAAGACCATGAATTTCAGCACATGGCAGAGCCACTATACTGGAGCTGTTTGTAACTAAGATTGTTAGTGGTACGGGAACCTAAAAAAAGAAACACATTTAAGCTTGTATTATTCAGTTTATATGAAAAAGACCGTACAATTCTCATGGTACGTTAACAAGATCGACTGGTATGCCAACTAACCTCTATTTTAATATTTAAATTATAACAATACAATAACTAGAAAAGGTCAGTGCTTCAAGTGACAGCTTTTGCCACTTCAATTCCAATATTTTTCCAAAATAATGATGCGATTAGATCTACACTTGAGCATCAGTAGTGCAATACAGTATCCTTTCCTGAATAAAGGAGCTGAGGTTTATTCACAATAAAAGCTTTAAATAAGGTAGATTGTTGCCATTTATATATCAATTCTGTATGTTTGATATAAAATATATCAGGAAAGCTTAAACTGACTTATACAATCTACATTTGGCTAAAGCTCCACATAAGCAGCATCAGTGGAAATGAACATCAGAGGTGTACTTAATATAAAACACTTTCAAAACTACTCATCAACAAATGACAGAAGTTTGGCTAAGAATAACTGAACATCTGAGGTGTGTACCAGACAAAAAGAATGGACCCTGTGGTTACTTGCACTATTTTAATTAAGTAAAAGAAATGCAAAATTTAGTCCACTTCCATTTCTCCAGAGGGTTTGGTCTGCTGAGGGTTGTCCTTTCCTGGTTCAGGTTTTGTTTCAGTACCGCTCTGTCCGTTCACTGGTCCATTGTGTTCACCATTAGCTTTTGACTGCCCATCACTGGGAGGTTCTATCTTCGGTTTGGGCTTGTATATAATGGGATTACAGAAGCTATCCAATTCCTAATTGTGACAGAATTGAGACAGCAAGGTCATTTGGTGCCACAGCAACTGTACTATACTAGAATGTCTCTCATTCGTTTCTGGTCCATAACAGCCTGGAATTTAATTTTCAAGGATTAGACTTCTCAACTCTATTAAATTTAGAAACTTAAAATAAAGCCTTTCACTACCTACAGAACTTCTGATCTGTTACAAACCTATATGGCAATCCATTCTGCAAAAAGTCTGGTGCTGTAACTTGGTATTTAAAAAAGCTTATGCAGAGGTATGCTGTAATTCAAGAGCCAGCACTGAAGATTGCTGAAAGTGCTGGTCCCTCTGTATAAATCTTTTAATAGCTTTAAAGTATTTGTAGATGTAATATTCTACCTCAAATCTCGGCCAAAATCTGGTTCAAGACAAACTTATTAGAATGCAACAATGATCTTTATGATTTTTTTTTTACCTTAGATTTTGCCAGTATTTCTGCCACTTTCACAACTGGATCCTGAGTCAGACTTAGTTTATTCTGGGCATTCATTTTGCTGTTCAACCAATTCATAGCCTCATTGATGTATTTGTCAACTTTTTCCATCTCAGCAGGATCTAGGTGATCATATTTTTCATCCTAAGGAGAGAGATATTTGTATCACCAATTAATATATGCCGCTCACCCAATTAAATTAGTATTAGAAGCTACAGAAACACTTGTAACAGCCATAACTTGAGAGATCCATTTCAAGTGGTCCAAGTGACCATGAAAAATGTAATGATCTTTGATTTATGTTCTCATGAAGAAGCTGTTTCTGCTAGCAATGCAAAACAGTTTTCAAGTTCTCAGGAATCAAAGTACAACAGCCCTTCTAAAGCAGTTTAAGAGTTAATTCTATAGGATTTCTTTTTAAACACAAAAAGCTCTACAGCCAAACTCAAAACACTTATAAATCCTTAAATCACTAAATAATTTATTTCTACCTTATTTTTGTATGCTTCTACTGCTTTCATAAGGAGCTGAATCTTCTTTCCCAGTTCATTTAGAACTTTTGGTCTCTCTTCATGTTCCACGCATCTTTCCTGAATAGGCTGTCCAAATTTCTGGAATAGTAAGCACAAAGATATTTACAAAATACATATTTCCTTTAGTCTGGTCTACGAATAAAATGAGGCATGGGAAGGAAGGCTGCCTTTAAGTCCTTTTCTCACCCATTCAAGAGCTAAATCTTTGCATGTTTCTTTAGTGCATCATCAACAAAAAAATCCCAGAGGTTTAAACAAAGGAGTAGTACCTATCCTTACCAAGCTTGGTATTTTGCAGTTTTCTGCAAAAAGAGCTTTTGGAACAGAAACAAATCAAGATTTAATGGATGCTTTAATTTTCAAGCAATTAATCTGAAAACTTCTAGTTTTATCCACTGTCTGTTTTTATCTTCTCTTGAATACTGGTATCCAGGCAGTTGCCTGTATCTGCACTGCTGTTTCCATCAGTTATCCCTCCCACAAAGGAAATCTGACTTGAGAAAAAACAGCTGGAGCCCTAGGGCTAGAGATATACTTCAACTTACTCCAAAGTAGCTAGTCATTCATTGGAATTCACATTTTCCCCATGAGATTATTAAAATCTAAAGTATTTAAGTTTTTTTTTTGTCATTGATCAAATGATACAGTGGAAGCTACTGTTAAAGCACTCTCAGCCTTTATCGTTAAGACATTAGACTCAAAAATTGAGTTTTATGATACAGCCATAGAAGACCACTTAGAACAGGACAATCAGAACATATAGTCTGGAGTGTAATTCTGATTACCCAGGAAGGCAGTCAAATATTCAAAAACCTCGTTCAGATTGTAACAAGACTGACAGAAAATTCCCATAGCAATTAAATCTGTTGTCACTAGTGACAGCGTGCTTCATTTCAACCATTTTCAAATTAGAAGCACAACTCTCATTAAAACAAACCATAGTTTTAGTTCTAAATATTATGTTCGCTTCATAAATAACATATATACGCAACCTGAACGCCCACCCATAAATACACATGCATGACTTTTCTAGAAAGCAACTTATAACCTTACTTTTAGTTCCTGAAGCTTATCCATGTATACTTGTTTTGGCTGGTCCTCTCCATCTTCATAAAGCCAATTTTCGGTGTCCTCCAACATCAAGGTCAGCTTGTTTGAATCCTACAACGCAAGTTAGGGACACTCCAGTTCAGAAGGGAACACATCAAATGAGACTTTTCTCCCACCCGAACACACCTTCTTTGCACTTCACCCCTACTCAAAAAAGACTGTTTCATCAGCTTGAAACATTCAAAGTGATAGTGAAGGAAAACAGTAATTAACAGACTTCAAAGTCAAGATTTTACAGAGTGATAAGAGAGGGAGGACAGCCCTACTCATCTGATTTGCAGGTGAAGTTTACTGGAGTTATAAAATCAGTCCCAAAGCTATGTAAGACAGCCCATGCACTTCTTAATATTATTCCATATTACCTGTTCATTTTTTTTTATTCCTACCCACTGACACCATTTAGAAGCTTGTGGCCTGCTTTCCTATGCTGACCATAGGATTTTTATTTTCTGCCTGCATCCCAAATCTTTCTTTGCCACTGAGGAACTTCTCAGACAATAAAGAACTCTGCTTGCTTGCAAGTCAAATGTTAGGTCCAAGTGTAATTTGAACTTCACTTTTGTGAAGTTGAGCCATCTCTTACTCCAAAACTAGTCTAAGAGACTGCTGGAGCCTTCCCAGAACCCACGCTCAAAACTTATTAATACAAAGGAACTTTTTCCAACAGTTGAAACATATAAGCAAGTCTTACTTCTTCAGTGATAAATTTCTCAAAGACTCCACACAGCTTGTCTCTGAATTCATACACATACTCTTCAACAGCATTCTTAGCATCATTTCTTTCTTTCTCAAGCTTGTCTTGCATCATCATCTTCCCCTAGGGTGGAGAAAAGCTTATTTAAAACTAAAAGCATTTTAAATGTCAAGCTCAGTGACTACGCTCTTGAAAGTGTACCACAGAACTTGGCAGAAGCCTGCTAATTTCCAATTACTGATAAAAATGTTCACCTCTGTGTAAGTCATCTGCACTGCAAGCACAACCAGAACAGCATAAGCTAAGTCTAATGAAACTGAGTAATTTCACCAAAACCCCAACAAAAACAAACCCCCTTACAATTCTAAATTGCTTAAGTTGATGGTTGCCAATTATTTTAGATAATTATTCACAGCGACATTGAGCAGTCATCTGTTTATGCTGCTTACCTCATTTTCTATATAGGAATTGATTAGATCTTGTCCCAGTTGCCTATAGAGGCTTGCCTGTATAGGGAGGTCAATACTCTTAACTTTTGTTTTAGCCTTTGGCTGGGATAGATGATCTTGCTTTTCTCCAGAAGAAGCCTATAAAGAGTGACACTACTAAGAAACTTCCAGGAATGGAAATATTACTACATTTATGCTCAAAAAAGAGAGACGAATAAAACTAGTTAAGACAGCTACAAATTAATTTTATATAGATTTAGCACCTAATTATTCCTCTGTATTCAAAATCACCATTACCTCAGTTTTGAACCAAACTGGTGAAATTTAATTTCTTTAAACATAAAGAGCTGTAAGAAAACTTGTTCAGAAGCTATTATTCTTTACAGTATTTCATAAGTTTCCCTAAATTACATCTTCACTATAAAATTAGGTTGAACAATAGAAACCTACTTTAAATTCTTAACCATACTGCGTTGAAAATTAAAGTGCTATGGTAGGATTCCTAACCTACATATATTCATTTATTGAAATGGTTATGTAAATATGCATTTCTTTAAATACAGTCCTACATTCTGCAACTAGTAAAATCAGTGAGTGTGAGAATACTGGGCAAAAAAACGTCTTATCAGTACTGAATACGAACTTTTGTTTCGGTTCCAGCATTTTCAGTTTCCTCATCTGCTTGGTTCTGTTGTTCAGCTTGACTTTTCTGCACACCTTCTTCTTGATCAACCTGCATTTTATCCTAGAGAGAGAGTTACATAACTGAATGCAATGGTTTGCTGCAAGATTTAAGACTGATGTCAGTTACAGTAGATCACACGCAATATATAACTTCAGAATCAATCCTAAAAATTTTTGATTCACCATGTTTGAACAGGTGTTTTGATATATTACTTGTATTTCTATCTTTCAAATGAAATGAACTCAGCCTTTTGATGTTGCTGTCTGTCCCCATAACATAATTACACTAAACCCTGTGAATAATCCCTTCACTTTAAATTAGAAATGCATACATATAAAATGCAAGCAAAGAACATTCTAGAAACACACCACCAACACAGGCAATAACAATGCGTTCTCTATGGAACAGCCAGAACTCTGACCTTGTATAATTTTTGACCTAAACTTTAAAGTTTGTAGTCCAAAGGAGAAGTAATTTAATCATCGTAATTATTACCTGCATCTGTCTCAAGGACAGCGAGACTAATAAAAATTAATTTCTGTAGTAGTAGCCTCTTGGAGTACATGACCAACTGTCTTCCCTCCTTGCCACCCAAAATAAAGCAAGCTTCAATTAAATTTATCTGTAAATTTATCCTAAATTTATCACTTATGCTTTATTCTAAATTTAACAATCTGAAAAAGACACCACTAATTACTAGTGCTGATCACTTGGTTTAAGTAATACAACTCCCTGTCATCGCTGAAAAACACTTTCAAGAGAAGTTTTCAGGATGACTCTAATATTTGGACATCCAGCGCACTGAAAACTAAGGAGCTGTAGATGAAGTCTGAAAGATCCAAAACTCCTTCTACTAAAAGGAATTCAGATTTCTGGATTCATAAACTACATATTCATGAAAAATCATTTACTGTTAGTTCTCCAAAATACAAAAAAAGTCACTTAAGGATTTCAAACTCTACCACAGAGGCATATGCTGCAGTTTACAGCGGAAAACAAGGTTACTTTTACCAAATTTAAGTTTTGTCACTTCAGAGTAGGGAAAAAAAAAATTGAAATGCTAAATTTACTGTTCTTACTGTTCACACAGAAAAGCCAACAACATGAGGAACTGTTTTACCTACAGGAAATAGCTATAGAGGGGAAATAATACACATATACACCACAAACCTCCTCCTCAGAGTCAAGGGGATCATCCTCAATACTGAAAGGTAATTGCTGACAAGCACCATTGTGAAACAGAAGATATGTTAGACAAATGGAGTACTACAGCAGGAAAGCCTGAGGACGGAAGCAGTTACTCGTGTACTGAACACCAGTGAACTCCATGAGCAGTATGCCTCAGACTAAATGCCAGCTCTATCACTTCCAATCCTTTTCCACTTGATTACAAACATCAGATACGGAACACTTGCCCACAAGGAACTGCATCATATTTAGTATTTCAAATATGCTCACATTCCTGGAAAGCAGTGTAGTATTTAAGAAGTCGCTTATATAGATTATGTAATGCTAGTTGTGTAACCAGTTGCTCTAATTCCTGTAGTATATTGAACTAAAGTAGGAAAAGCTGCTAAGAACAAATCTTAAATGAAAGGCTGCCAAGGCCACCATATATAACTTTTACTAATTGAAAAAATACTGTGTGAGGAACAACAAACCCTAAGATTAATTTTTCAACAGATCTCATTAAATATGCTGCCATTTGCTAGCAACACCAGATAATGCTAAATGCTGGTGAGATGGTGAAGCACAATAACAAAAAATATCACTTTATTCTTTAGAATATGGTTTTACATTCTTCTTTCTTTCTTAGTGCCACACTTCACCAGTACTTCAATAATAAACATGAAGAAATGTGTTACATAACTGAAGAAGTAATTTAAGGGTGGAGAAGCAGTAACTGTGAAAAGCTAAACACTGATTTCATCTGCAATTATTGGCTCTCTTATCAGAATTACAGTGTAGATATTTCCAAGTTTACATACCAGCTCTTCATCTCTGCCTTGGTTCTTACTTGATGATTCAGTGTCCATGGGTGTGTCGTTGTGATCCCCCTCTATGTTCTGCTTCTCTATTATGGAAGCATTAGCCACACTGAAAAGGCCATGGATATTGACACGCACCTTCACCTTCACTTTGGAACTGTCGCCATCAGGTTGGGGACCAACATTCTGAATAGTGAAACGCCCTTGAAGACGACAAAGACAGCTTTAACTGTTGTGTCAAAAAAGTAGTGAAAGAGTGTTAATTTAAACAGCACCTTCATGTAACTTGAACTACTTGGAAACTTTCTACTTAGTTGTCAATCCTACAATGTAAGCTGCAGGTAGATAAACTAAAGCCTGGTTCCCAATTATTATCAGTTCACTAATAATTAGTAAGATGTTTTTGCTTTATCTTTATTTCATAAGAAAGCAAGATACCACTTTACTAGGTATTCTACTTCTCTGTTGCCTTCTGTAACCATCACACTAGAGAAATTACTCTGATGATCTCAAATGGTTTCTTTTGTCCACGTAACTCAAACTTCACACTGCAAAATAAAATGTTAACAGAGATTTTGAATGATGAATTTGATAACATGGCTGCACTACACTTCCTGGAGAATGAACAGTGCTTATCAAGGTTTCTGGAAGTAGTGAGGTGGATACATTTTGCAACTTGCTGGAAATTTGACTGTAGATGATGCAGACTGTGCACACATAAGGAATAACGTTTCTTCCTGAATACCACAGACTTCTTGCATAGACAGCTAAATAAACAGTACCAAGTTTATATCTGATTAATAAATCAGGAAATAAAATCCTGAATTAGAGACCCTGAGGAGTGTATTAATACTGCAAGTAAGGCAGCATTAGCTACCAAGAAACTTATTCATACCATCTAATTCTTTAGACTCTACTACAGATGCTTAAATTGAGGAAATGCCTATCTTTTATGTTCTCAGATTAAGAGAAAGAGACATGACAGATAGCACTAGATGTTACCTGTCCAGACAGGTAACAGCTCCTCTGATCCAATTTCTTTGAAAAATCCAGGCTAGCTGGCACATAATATCTTTATCAATTTTATAGAAATTGAAAGAACCAGACAATAGAGCACTAAAAACTCCTTGTACCTACTTGTTTTAAAGCATTCAGAAACTAAAGATAAAATGAAGCAGAATTTTTTTTAGGAACTGTCCAACAAAGATGTCAATACTGTGTGATCACTACATTTAAACCAAAAAGACTGTGCTGAGCCTTTCTAAAGAACCAAAGCTTTACTATAAACTAGGAAATATGGAAGTGACCTATCTTAGAAGAAAGGAGAACCATTCTTCCCAATATCAACAGGAGCTGGGTAAGGAGTTTCTATTCACATTTCCTTACCTATTCTGGAATCAGGATAAGGCACTTCATGCGGATGGGTATAATAAGCTTCCAGGTCAAAAGGTTCTTTCTTGTGAAAAGTAATTACTTTTGAGAATGGAGCAGCATGATTCTTACTGAAGACTTCACACTCCCTAAAGCAGTAAAACATTAAGTGAGGTTAAACCTCTGAGCATAATTTAATGGATAATGAAAATCCAGGTATGTTAATGATCAGCAGCCATGCAAACAGCTGAGTAATTTAAGTCATTTTATGACAATATTTGGAGGTTGAAAGCCTCTTGGTCTCAAAGCTGGACTCTGCATTCAAGATGACACTTATTAAAAACTACGCAAGTTCACTGCAACATTTCTTAATTAAATGTATTTCCAATTATTAAGCAGTAATTGGAAAGCAAAAAGGTACAGTGCAAAAAAAAAAAATCTAAAACAGTTCAAGTGGATGAGAGCTTCAAAGCCAGAGGCCTGTTTTTTTCCCCCACAGCTCAACATTTTTCTTGATATACAAACATACACTTTTCAGTCGGCACTGTACCAACTTACCCTGTTCCTTCTTCATAAGATGATTTCCATCTCAATGTTACAGAGTAAGGAACAACATCTGTGATGGAAAACTCACGCACTTTAAAAGCTGGGGAAAGAATTGCACACTAGAAAAAAAAAAAGACCAAAATTTTATTATATCCATATAGTCAAATAAATAACAAGTACAAGAATTAATACTTAAGTGCTAAAAGGCTACAAATCATATTGGTCATATATGGAGGTCCTACTTATCATAGAATTTTTTTTAACAGAACCTTCTCATAGTTAATTGAACTGAAAGACTTAACTAAAGTAATAGGTGCTACTTCCCCAGTGATTTTCAGTGAAGATACCCAGCAAAGCTTTTGAACGACTACACGGAAGTGGAACAGCAGAATTTTGGTCATCAAACTTAACAGGTCTCTAACAAGACCATCCTTTTAACGTGACACAGCAGCAAATCAATGAATGTAACAGAATAATTTCTGACAAACTGTTGAAAGAAGTAAGACTCTGTATCTTGTTTCAGCTGTAGCACCTTTTGCTTGTGGTTAGTTTTATTTCATTAGTACACGATGTTAAAGTAGCAATACCGAAGTTTTATTTCAATAACTATACCTGCAAGGCACAGCCTCTTGCAACAGCTTCATCAGCATTTAGCGTGGTGCTTATCTCTTTACAGAAAAAGTTAGAGATCTGTTCCTTCACTGCTGGAATTCTAGTAGCCCCACCTACTATTTCTATACTGTAGATATCTTCACGCTGAAGTTCTAGAAAAGAGAGTGCATGGCTTTAAATTATCGTCAAGATTTCAAAAAGCTGTCTTTGGACAACTAAAAAAAAAAAAGAAGAAAAGGTAAGAGTCCTCTTATTATCCAACACTGTGACAAGCACTGAACGCATTTAACAACTGACAAGATCTTTGTAACTGTCCCTCCTGCAGGCTACAAAGGTTTCTAGTTGCATAAACCTGGGAAATGCAGAAGCCAAGCATCAATGAGAACAGCATGTGCATCCCCTTTCTGGTGTGCATAGACCCAAAAGTGTAAAATTGGGTCTTCTTTAGGAGCCCTGCCCTACTGGACAATACCTCACCTCTCCTGAACAACAAAATGAAACCCAAATATACCTCATCTTCTTATGGCTGGCTCAATCTTGGTTGCCAAAAATGTAAAGCAAAACCTTTAGCTAAATATATGTAAAAAATAGTAGACTGTGCTTGCAGGTTATCTTGAATTCGGAATTAAGTTATGTGTATAAATAATCTCAAACTATCAGTCCTTGAACAGCTCTGCTCAGATGTTACTCAGGTTGTTAATTTCTGTATTAGCTATCAAGCCAAGTCACAAGAGAAGCAGAATTCTTCCCTTTCTTTTAGGTGAAGATGTTGGAATTAGGGGTAAAACCTTTTCCTGTGAAAGTCTAATTCTCTCCTTTACACTACATTAGGCAAAAAAGAAATTAATTTGTTATTTGCACATGCTTCTGGTAACTTGTTTTAAGAATATACTGCCAAATTCTCAGGTCAGTGAAGACACGTATGTATCACATGGAACAGGCTGGCCCAAAGGTTGCAGTAAAGAATAATATTTTTTCCCCATCATCATTTTGGCTTGGTTTGGTTTTGTGATTTTTAAATCAATTCGGAATGCCAGCCTTTTCCATGACACAGGGTGAATGAGGGTCAATAACCAAGGTTGCAGAGTGGCATGTGCAATAAATGAGGCAGGAATGGGATCATGCAGTCATGACAAGCGTATGAATGGAACTTACATTTAACTTTTCAGTATTTAGCTTTGCAATTCTAATAAATACAAAAATATATTAAAAAGATAATCATTAAGGAGATCGAGGATAACTGGATTACTAGCAGTACCTAAATTAACTCCTACTTACTTGCTTGATCCATGGCTGCTCTTAGAGGAGGCTCCACTCTGGCCAGAAGGGCAGCACACAATTGCTCAAACTGAGCTCTGCAGGACAGGAAGAGTGTTCCACATTATGAGGCAGCTTAGAGACCACCCTCCCCTGCACCTCAGTGAAAACAGCACACCGCACCTGTTCATCTTACTGGAGACATCAAGGTCATTCATGAAGCACTCAATATTGAGTGGAAGGTCAGAAGCATTTGCACTCATAAGCTTCTTGAGCTTTTCACATTCCTGATACAATCGCAACAGTGCTCGCGGATTCTCTTTTACATTCAGTTTGTATTTTGTCCTAAATTCTTCAGAGAAGTAGTCTACCAAAGCCTCATCAAAATTCCTACCACCTACAAAAGGGTCAAAGGTAGTAGCCAAGACCTGACAGAAGTGAAAGAAAGATGAGAAGTTATTAGACAATGTTTGTTCTGTGCCATTTACTCAACACAGCAAAATGTGCTATCATCTTCCACATGACTTCAAATGGCATTTTGCTACCAAAGACAAGTTCACAAAAGCATTCAGCCAGTAGCAGCTCATAGACAAAAGTCTCCAAAGCAGGAAGTGAAAACTGTTCAGTTTTACCTTGCATCCTATTGGATTTAAGACTTTCAACTTGGAAAAAAACCCCTGGCATCATGGAGTGACTTGGGCAGTTCAAGAATTTCCCATGAGTAAGTCAGCTGCGCAACTACAATGCTTTTGAGACTACCTGATTCTGCAAATATATCAGTAATATAACATGGCACAAAAACTGCAGTGTGCTCAATTATCAAGCACTTTTCAAAACATACTTTGGGATAGTTCACTTCTGCATTTTACCAAAACTGACTTACTGAAATAGCAAAAAACAACAGAAGAGTTTTGTATTCCACGTTTTAAAAGTATTTGCTATAGACATTTAAAAAATAATCTTTCCAAAGAGCAGTATTTTGAATATTAAATACTTCAGGCATATGGAATTTTAATGCATGACTTAAAAGATTACCTTCAGTTTTCCCTTGTTAAAAGCACAGATGGAAACCTGATATGCAGAATGTCCCATATCTACAAAGACCACATTTCTTGGCTTCTCTTCCAAGGCTGGCAGATCTTGCTTGTATATTCCATAGGCTAATGCAACTGAAAAACATCAGCCCATGGAAGTTAAGGGCAAGATGTAAAGTGTGCATTAAAAACACTACCAAAAGACACACACTACCTATTCTTTACCCTTTCTAAACACCTCCTAACTGCTCAAATGTTGAAAAGATGTTGAAAACACATTTTTCATTGACAAGAGATGAAAGAAATGTCAAGTGAAGGTTTAACACTACTGAAGCATCACCCTGTAATTCAGTTCTGCTTGCAGCCAAATTAACATTGTAATTTGTGAAATTGCACAGATTAAGCCTCATGCTTACACCTCTCCCTTGAAATGCTTTATTTTCATTATTTTTTATCTTAGCTTTGCAAAACTCACGCATGCCCAAGAAACAACAACAAAAAAAAGCGTTTTAGAAGACTAGTTTACACAAATCTAAGATTTCACTACCCAGCACTCATTTGGAAAGTTGTTTGAGACTTTCTAAGTGCAAAGAAAACTTCGATCAAGAAAAATAAAAGTTATTGATTTAAACAGCTCCATGTTTAGTTCCCATAAAGTGTTAGGTATTTCTGGGCTCTACCCTGACCAGAAGAGGGAAGTTACTTTATAGAACCAGTTGTCCCACTGCCGCAGCTGACACGATTGCCTCAAGTTTCAAATGTCATTACCCCACAGACTCAGTTGACTTGGATATCTGAAAAGTCAAGTTCAAGTTGTCTGTAAATACGATCAGCAAATCCACTTTTGGAGAAGTGCATAAAAATGCAATTTGTGTAGAAGCAGCTCTTAAAGCATACACATTAAGTAGTTAAAAATGAAAAATCTTTGGATTATACTTTATAATTTCCCTTCAATGTTTATCACTTCAACTAAGTATTAGCTTATGATAAAAGTATGTCTCTAATACTTCCATGAGTTTTATTTTTACTTCAATATACCCATCTTCTAGAAAGCTGGAAAGAAAATTAGAAGGCCCCACTACACACCTATGTTAAAGAATGTATTTACCATAATGTTTTAGACACATCTGATAATATTGTACTGTACTATTATTTAATACAGCAATTAAGAATTTAGGTCAGCTGCACACCCAGCTGAATCATGAAGAGATTCTGAAGGTAGCTCAGGCCTTCCTGATACAGCTCCAGTAGGTTCATAGTACAGCTGAAAGGTAAGCACAGATGCCAGCTTTCCAAAGCTATCCCCCAGTGGCATTGCGTTCAAGTTAGCAAACCCCAACTTCCACCACACCTCCTAAGTGCTGCACACCACCCCACTGCAGTGTTTCCAGTTCCCAAGCTGGATTGGGCAGTACCAGCCCAGACGGCTCTTTCTCAAGCTCCTAATTTTGTAAGAGCAGGATGTCATCACCTTTACATTCAAGAGCCTGAATGGATTTAAAAGGAAAAAAAAAACGTTTCTGCCCTTTACCTGCTGTAGTTTCATTCATCAGCTTCAGACAATTTAATCCTGCAATCTGCGCAGCTGCCATTACAGACCTTCTTTCAGCATCAGTGAAGAAACTAGGGACCTGTTTCCAAAAACAACAACACAGGGTATTATGGAATATGGATTTTTTAATTTAAATAAGTCAGACTTGCCCATTAAGCTACCCTATAAATGTCATTGCCACAAGAAACTGTTATGAGCTAGCCACAAATTAATAAGGCACTCTGAATAAAAGAGGTAGCTAATTCATTTTAGTTCATATTTTAATTAAGATTTCAAAATTTGACAAAAATGAAGTGGCATCCAAGGTTGTTTTAAATAAAGCCGATTTAAGCACCACAAAAAATCCCCCTAAAAATGCTTTCTCAGATTCTTAAAATCATTACTAGTTACTGAAAACATTTGTGCAGGACAAAGTCAACACAATAAATATTCACACATGGCCCAAAAATAAGTTACAGGCAGAAGCACTGCAGTGATGCCGCAACTAAACCTGAACCTGTATTCATTTTTCAAATATCACCTCCAGCACAGTGCCAGCTTACAGGGAGCTACAACATTCAGTGCCATCAAAAATAGCCAAAGCATAATCAGAACCCATTTAGAAACTGGCTGCCATCAGCTGGCACATCTTCAGCGTCAGTCAGAACTACATTCACAGTGTGTTTTGCTGGCTACCACTGTGGTGTATCCCTCTGTGCGTGGGAGGTGCTCTCTAAGTGTCTTTGTATACCAAAAGGAAGCAAGGAAAAACATCAAAGTAGATTTCTAACAGCTAAATTACATGACTTTCCAGTTTCCATGTCTCTGACAGATGCAATGTCTCTCCAATCCCTCATGCCCAGACTTCCCAGCAGAGCCAGTAAACAAAAACCATGTGAAAAGCAGACACAGGAATTCATATCAGGAACAAAACCTCCTCACGGGGAAGGCCATCAGCTAGAAAAATCATGGGCAAACCAACTGTCATAGGTTGAGATTGGCCCCCCCTGAGAGGTTCGAGGGGCTCAGAGGTGACTGGGTGCCAGGACAGTGTTCCCTTGAGAGCCAATCACCACTCATATTGTTCGCTTCTGCTCAAAATCATATATCACAGCACCAGAAGCTGTTAGAAGTTCTGTCTTGGTTGTTTTGCTGTTGGTGTCTGCTGCATGTAGGTGGACAAGGCCAGGGGGTGGCTGGGCTGCCTCTCTTCCCCTCCAGGGTGGGGAGAGGGGAGCCCTGTGACCCCCCGGCTCAGCCTTTGGCTAGAGTTAGAGTCAGCATTTGGAGTGTGTGCTGTGAAGGAAGAGATTCACAGCACCTGAGGTAAGAGGGAGGAGGCCAGGCCTTCTTTCCCCCCCCCGCAGCTGTGGGACGCTTGGGACAGTGCATAACTGAACCGAGCTGCCTGTGGCCAAGGCTAGGGGGCTTTTTCCCCCCCACTACATTTAGGCTGGTGGGGGGTGGATTTTAAGGCTCAGCATTTGAGCAGAGCCAAGTGGACGGGCTGATAAATCAGCTTGGTGCTCGGGAGAAGAGTCCCAGGCGAAATTGGAGACGAGCCAAGAGCTCGAGAGTTGCCTGCTGAAGCTGACCGGGGGCAGCCGAGAACTGATGTGGAGGAATGAAGATTCCAGGATGTGGACGCTTGATAAGCTAAGCTACACTACAGCAGCCTACGAACTGAGGTGAGACACCGAGAGGGAGAAGTCACCAGCAGCAGGAGAGCAAGGACTCAAAGCTATCTTCTTGGACCTCGTGAGGAGAGACTGCAACAAACAACTGCTGGAACTTGGTGAGGGGGGGAGCGTTCAGGAGCCCAGAACACTCCCACGGCAGACTGTGTTACATATCAGCCTTAAAGGCTGCTCCTGGACTAAAGTTAAAGGAGGGGCTTGAAAGGACTGACTGATAGTAATGTAATATATATATATAGTTGCCTTTAGTTTGTATAGTATTTATTTGTGTAAATAAATGTATATACTTCCCTCTTCCCCTATAGAAGCCTCTAGCCTGAAAGTTTCTCTCCGGTGTTAGGATAATTGTGTGAAGGGTGGGGGGAGGTCTGGAAATTGGATTTTAGATTTCTAATGTGGCTCAAACGGCCACACCAACCAAATAAAAAGACTTTTTCAAACAAAGCCAAGTAATTTGGGGTTATCAAATTGTTACTATGACCCTCAGAGAGTTTAGGTAACTCTCAACTGCACTACAACAGCACTCAACTAGGTAATAACAAAGAAATTTAACATGAATTTGGGAAGGTTCTTTGGAATCAAGGAGGATATGCTTACGCATAGGACAGCTTCCATTTATAACAGGAACTACAGTAATCAGGAATACTATACGCAGCCCTTGTAGACAGACAGTTTGGATTAGCTTAAGCAATATGTTCTTTCTGAAAACACGCTCTTGATTTAACAAATTTTTCATCTTCTCACATATGATTCCAAAAGCATTCTCATTTGGAAAACCTTTAACAAAGGCCTATTTTTGGGGATACAATTTCTATCCACTACTTGTATCTATTCCCACAGCACCATGGCATAACTGGTCCTAGCTTACATAAAGCTATCTATAGATTACAATAAATATATTACCACTTACTGAGATCACACAGTCTGCCACTGGCTTCTTCAAAGCACTTTCTGAAGTCTCTTTCAGTTTGGCCAATAACATTCCTGTAATCTGTTCAACTGCAAAAAGTCTCTCTTCATCAAGGTATCTCACCTGAAACAGAGAATTGTGATTCTGTAATCCATCATCTCAACTTTTCTCTGAAGATGTGATGAAGCTTAATACCAGACTTTAGACACAAATAACGCCATATCAATTGATGCTACAGATCTGTGTCACCTACAACAAATCTTAAAACAGTTCAGTTTAGGTGAAAATTGTTTTGTGGGAAACTTAACACCTCAGTTATCTCAAGGGGCTATTCACAACGATACAGTATTTCTGTTGCTCTTTTTTTTTTTTAATTTAAAAAACAACAACAACAAAGCATAATACATAACCCTACCACAAGTTGAAAATAAGAGTTTTGGAGCAAACCCAAGGAACATTTGCTTCCTGCAAGGGTCACTTTAAGCACATGAGGCAGGGAAGGTGCAAACAGGGCAATTCTAACAGTCCTGCCCTGCTCAGGAAACACATCTGAACCTTCAGCCTTCATGTGAAGTTCTGTGTCCTGAATTCCTGAGAGACTACTGTCTCTCTACCAATCCCAAGCACTCCTGTGCAAGGAAAACCAGAAGGATGTATATTTACACTGGCAATTATTGTGATATGACCAGGTGTACAGAATAAAACCCACTCAGTGGTATGAAGCCCTGTCAAAAAGCAACTCAAAGTGCACTGAGGATGATTGGGAAATCTGCTTCAAAAGTGCATTCCTGATCCAAATTAAAATGCTAAAAAAATAGACACATTCAGAAATTGAAGCCAGAAAGCCTGAACTCTGAGAAGAGCAGTTTCCAGCCATTTAGTCTGGAAGCAAATTACAAATAACTTGTTCAGATTTTATATTCAGAGTATTATCTTGTTTTCCCAAAACTTGGTCTCTGCATGTCTAAGACCTAAACTCAGAGGGAAACTAATAATCACACACAGTAGTTTTTTTAAGGTATTTGAACATATTTGAAGGTAAATCTAGTAGGGTAAGGTGAAAAGCTAGTAACGGAAAGTACTGTGGAAAGCAAATACAACTGATGAGAAACCTCGATCGACATCTTGGTTAGAAAGTACAGGACTTATTTAGAGAAACAGGAATATATTTAGAGCCTTCTTAGGGAAAATGTAAGTCTGTTCATGCAAGAAGTGACAAAGGTCCAAATCTACCTCTAAAAGTACTCTGCCCAAAGCTTTAACTCACCTTTACTCCCACGGAGCCATTAGGCATCTTCTGAAGTTCATAGGGAAGTTTGGCCCTCTCAGCTTGTATGTAAGGATCTTCAAATGCTCTTCCATGCAGTTTTTTGAAACCATGTAATGCATTTTTTACATTTGTGACAATCTGTGGAAAACATATTTTAATTACCTGTGACATGCAGGCTACAGAGGACCGTGAAGAAAGAAACTCTTGTTATGTTGGGTTTAATTCACACACTGACCTGTGTAAAGCCCTACACGTTCACTGGAAAGAAACGTGTGGGGAGAGAAAGAAGAACCTATTTTTTAATCTATGACCTCCATTAAAAAAATTCAAGTTTACTTCTCTCTGTAATATTCATTAGCTTGCTGCCATCAATTTTCATGGTGGTTTTTACATTAGAGGAACTTTCTGATACATTATGCAATATTTGAGATCGTATATTGTTGCAATGGTTGTCAGTAGGAATAAATGAAGTTATTACCTACAATAACCTTATATAAACCTTCACCTATTGAACACATTTCACTTCCTTTGAAGTTCTCCTCTAATTCAGATCCCAACTGGATGTGAAGTCTCCTCACACCTGTTCTCTCATCAGTGTTTTAACCCAGTTACTTTAAGGACAGGCTTTTAAGCAAAGAAAGGGCCAGAAGAAACAAATCCCAATAAACACAGTATTTAAGCTATCAAAAGAAACTACTCCAGGGTAATCTTGTCCAAGATGAACTACTTTACTAATCTAAACAGCAAATTTCCCAGCTGGGAATACTGACAGGACACTTTCTCAGCAGCAAGTTCAGGGGCTGAGCTCAGATAAAAAGTGTAAAGTTGCTCAGAATGAAAGCAATATGGCTTCTGCATTTACTGCCTGCTCATGGTACATCAGGAGGGCTCTACTACCTTCACATCTGCCAGGCAAATCTAAGGGGAAGGAAGTCTTCAACATGCTAACATCGTGCATGTACACAAAAAAAGAGAGCAAGACCTGACCTATTTTGAATTTGTAGATTCATACCGTCTATTACAAATCTTTAACATGTGGGTTTTTTCCCCAAAGGGAGGTTTTCCTAGGTTGCAAGTGAATTTACTGAGGATCAGAGAAATTTCACTTTCGTTCAAAGCTCCAAAGTGAGATAGTACATAACTAAAATGCATTCATTTCCCATTATAAGCAACAACCAGTATCTCTATGAAACTCTGTTCAACTTCAGTTTCAGCTTTTCTAAAGCATAAGCACATTATCCCTCCCCGCCCCAGTAGAGATTTAATTACGAACTCTATTCCTGCTGTCATGAGTAAGCAAGAAAATAATATTTTACTGGTGAACAAACAAGGTTTTCTGTTTCTTCTCTTCCCCCCCCATGACAAAACAATGCAGAAATACAGTTGCAATTTTAATACAGGGTTGTTAATATTGTTGAAGCAGTAACTGTGAAATATACACTTACTGCAGAAAATTCACTTCAAAACATAAAATTATCAACTTTTATTTGTTACTTGTCTTCCCACAGTTCAACGGGACATAAGTCTAATAAGTCACAATAAAGTTTGTGATCCATTTACCTGGCTCTTTGCTGCATTCCCAATGGCTCGGGTCTTGGATCCTAAAGATATACATGCTCTAAGTAAGAACAGAAAAAAAAAATCAGCTTTAAAAGATAACATCATAAATCATTTCCATGGTACTATAGAATATCCACAAAAATTCAAGTAGCAGAATATGGATGTGGTGTTTAAGAGCATTACTGCATAAAGCACCAGAACTTGAAGTGGAATTCTAGTTATTCTTTTCAAATTAGTTTAGAAACTGCATGCACTGCAACTGTTGTCATTATAATTGCATTTAAGGAATTCTGTAAAAGTTTCTACAGATCTCATCATGAAGGAAAGGCATGAATAGTCATTTTTAGGTCACAGATAACTATGAAAAGAAGCCTGTGACATCTAGTTTAAGAACCTGAACTTTACCAGTCGGGTTTTTTTGACTCAATAAACCCTTGAGTCTGACAGGACCACATTCACATTGCAAGACCCCTTACCAACAATCCTGACAGAACAACTGGAAAAAACCCCAAACATCTAAGGCCAGGGGAGCTGAACAGCCCACAAGCTGTTGAGCACTTCCGTAACTGAGGACTACCAAGTATATGCTGCAAACGGGCAAAAGGGGGGATTATCTGGGAACAGCTCCCAGGGTTTTGGAAGCTCTAATGCAGCCCACAGACCCTTGCTGTTTCTTGTGTCACCACTGAACACCCTCTGGTTCAGCAAAGACTGCCCCAGGTCACAGTCACCATCTGGCCCCAGTAACCATCTGGCCCCCCTCACCACCATCTTTGGAAATGGTTGGTTTTTTTTCTGGAAGTTACTATCACCATACTTCACATTACAGATTTGAAATAGAACTCTTCCCTAAAAAGGAACGAATCTGGCTAAAACCATTCAGGAGTAAGTAACAGATACAAGCCAGATTTCATACAGTTCAAATATAATTGTAATTGTTTAATGAATGTATAAAGGTCACTACAGCAGATTACTTCCTGCCTCCTCTCCATCATCACTACAACGAGGCCACTGTAATTTGAGAGTATCCTCTAGCAACCTCTTCTCTGTGACACCACACTGAACATGCAAAACCTCCAGATTTCACTGCTGCAAACAGACAAGGCATTGCCCTACATTTTCAGATATGTAGTTCAGCTTTCACCATTTTTAATGTCACAATGCTACAGTTCCCAATCATACCTTGTGATAATTAATGAAGGTCAGATAAAAGAGCTCTTTATATAGTAAGCAAATGGTTTACAAACTACTGCTATTGTATCACACCTTTTCAGTGTAGGAATCTGACTCTGCTGAGAGACAATTACTGGCACATACCCCACGCAGAGCATGAAGCATCAAGTCAGAAGCTACTTGACACACCACAGCTCCTGCCAGGGTTTACTTCAATTACTCACTTCCAGCACAGGGGTGGATGGTTTCTTCTTCCATTGGTTGGGAAGCAACAATGCCAAAAAATGAATGTGCTCTCTTTGGCACCAAAAACTTCTGCAGTATCCAAAACAGTCCTCTAGGAAGAACATCCACCCTAAGGATACAAGGATACTGAACTGCTTCCCTTACCACTACCCTCAGCTTGCTTTGAAGAGAGCTGTAGAGCAGTACCCAGACTTCACTAAGGTAGCAACTCTCCTCACCAGAAGGACATTTCAATCCTCTCCCTGCATTGTTTTGAAGATGTTACCTTCGTGATCTTAATTACAGCATGTGATCACACTAAACACACGTGGTCTGAAAAAAGTTACTAAAACATTATGAGCTATCAACAATTGGCTCTCTTCCCACAAAACTACAGTGGTGAGGGAGAGCACCTGGAAGGGCCACTAGCCATGAGTTTAACGTGCTAGGAGCACTGGAAACATGTACAACAGACTAGCTGGAATTGCAAGTTCAGAAAAAGCCAAGCATAAGTTAACTTCCAAAGAGATGCAAGGGCCAAAAGCCTTAAAATACACAAGTTCTACCAAAATGGATGGCTTCATAGCAAAATCTTTTTCCTCTCTTTCTAGAAATATTCGTTCTAAAGCTTCCAAGATGATACACATCTTACAAATACTAACAATCCCAAGCATCAGACTACAGGATGTACATTTCAGACAAAGGACCACCTGAATGTTTTAACAACAGGGATACTGGATTTATGACTATGTTAAACTGTGGTAATACAGATCTTCCCCAAGTCTACACTGCTTTTGTCTGTATGCTGTAAATGATGATGTTCACAGCAGCACTGTGCAGGTATCTGAGCCAGCTCCAAAGCTGGAATCTGGCTGCACTGATGAGCCTTGCCCAGAAAAAGCACAGCCAGGACTGTCCTATCTTTAGGCCCTGTGCCAGGATCTTTACATGGCTTAATAACAGCACCCTGCACATGAAAGGGTTACTGGCTTGCCCAGGTATTTTTACACAGTGCTACACAGATGCAGTAGACTCTGGATTTCTGGGAGTAAGTCACAAGTATTTGGGACATCTCCAATCCATGTTAACTATTAGCTAACTTAAGTATCTGAATGATGTAAGCACCTGTATAGAAACATTTAAAACATTTACTGCGTGTCTTTGTGCAATAGGAAGAAAAGTTTTAACAATTCAAGAGTTAGATCTGTCTACATCATTCAAATCCTGTCTGAAGTAAAGGTTTAGCAACTATTACAAACTTACATAACAGTAATAAATTTGTTACATTTCTATTGACCTTTCTGGTTTGCCTCAAGATAACAGTGTTAGAAAGGATGTTCCTCAAGTTGTCTTGTATTACTGCATTTTGAGACAGAGAAGGACAAGGAAAATGTCACTTTAAGTGAGACACCCACTGCCTTTAAGTGTACATGTACTCCAGATGCTGTAATTGCCAACTTGTACATCCTTCATAATCCCTCTGCAAATATCTTGAAAGTACAGTTAATCAGATATTAATGTGAAAAATATTAAATGCAGAGAAGCCTCTCTGCAAAGAACATACTCCAAGAACAACTAAGAATTGGAAGTGCTCTTCATCATAAGGGGGAAGGAAACTACAGCTGCCTCAGGATTCTTTGGGCAACAACTTCATGGGATTCCTTGCACTGAATTTGAAAAGTCTCTGAATTTCAGTTCTCATAAAACGTGCACAAGGATAATGACTGCCTCGGAGCTAATGTGAAAAGTATATTTTTATAAAGAATAAAAGGAGTATTAAACAGTATTCCCATTAAAACAGAAAGTATGCATTTCAGCACTCAATTTCTTCGCACTTCTAAAAAACAACTTCTTAGAAAGCAAACCAACACCTACATTTCTCCGACATCAAAAGGAGCGCAATGCTGAGGTTACTACAGCCTCATACAGCAGAAACAGCTTTCTCTGTTGGCTACAAGTTCCTTTAATAAACGGAAGCACCATCCAACACCCGATTTTCATAAGTATTACACGAATTCCTTAATCCTCCTTGAAAATTATGCACAGACAGAGCTGTGAAAATCCTAGACGTATCCCATAGAAACAGAGGAGCAAAGTCTCCACCTACTCTTGCGTATCCCATCATCACAGACGCTGCCCACTGCCACCCCCCTCTTCCTCGCCAGACCTCGGTATTCCACGGCCACCACATACGGTGCAAGTAAGAACAGGTTTAAAGAGAGGGAATTCATCGCGCCACTTCCCTGTTTCCCTGGTGAATCAACGTCCTCCACCTTCCCAGTCTCGCCACCACTCCATCATGTAATTGTTAATGAAAACGCTTCCAGCTCTGGCAGGCGTTCCAGAGTTGGGGAAACACATGCACTCCACCGAGATCTTTGGCTACCCGAAACCAAAGCGTGACAAGGACGGAAATAAAAGTCTGCTGTGCCTCCGGAGCGGTGCGGCACATTCACAGCGCAGGATTTCAAGGACACGCAGAGGCAGCAGCCAGGACAGCCAGACGCAGACACACGAATGTCTCCCGGGCAACCTCCAGCCCCAGCACACGCACCGCTGCGCCTGTTCTCGGCAAGAGGCACTCTCCCGGCGGGGCCGCGCTGCGCTCCCGCCGCGGGGGCTGGAGCGCCCGGGGGGACCGCGCGGGGAGCGCCCCGGGGCGCGCAGGGAACACGGCCCCGCGAGACCACACGGGGCTGCCCCTGGCGGGCGGAGCAGCAGCGCCGGGCCCCGGGACCGCCGGTACTCACGGGGTGCAGCGGTCACTGTACTCGTTAGCGATGGTCTCGATGCCCCCGCTCCGCGCCACGCCGATGTAGCAGTTGAGGAAGCCGAGGTCGATGCCCACCACAGACATGGCTGCGCCCGCTGCTCCCCGCGCCCGCCGCGGCTCCGCTGGGACTGGGACTGGCACTGGGACCGGCCCCGGTTCCGCGCCCGCCGCTCCCCCACTGCGGAGCGCCGGCACCAACCGGCAGCGGCCCCGCCGTGCGCAGGCGCCGCCGGCGGGAAGCCCGCCCGGCCCCGGCCTCCGCCTCGGCTCTTTCCGGCACCGCTCGGGCGGCGCTGCCCTTCCAGAAGGATCTGGAACGGGAGGGAGGCGGGGAAGGAGGGAGGGAGCGGTGCCACCGGGAGCGACGCCCCGCGCTCGCGTCACGCTGCGGCGGGACCGCCCCGCCCGCCCTTAAAGGGCGCGCGGAGTCCCCCTTAGAGCCGGGGTTGGCTGCGACACGGCTCGAGTTAATGAGATTATAGCAATCCGTAGCAATTAGTGCCGGCGGTGACTAGGGTCATTAATACAGCCGTGCCTGGAGTGGGCCACCACAGACCTGCCGTGAGGAGTGGGACAGACCCCCAGCTCCTGGAGCAGGTGGTTGGCCTGGAAAACCCTGAGGCCCAAGGTGCAGGGTTAGCCCTGTATCCGGAAGCCAAGTTATGCATTAAAAATGGAACCAAGACCTCTTCTGTCCGAGGTGGGGATGGCTCCTGGTGCCAGGGACAGGCAGAGAGCTGGGACCATCAAATCCTACATTCCACCCACTGCCAACACAAGACTGTCGTTGATTTGTGCCAATGTATTCCCAGAAGCACCTCATCTGTCTTAATTTCCTAGAAAAAAAAAACAAAAAACAAAAAAAAACACCAAACAAACAAACAAAAAAAAACCACAAAAAAAAAACAAACAAAAAAAGAAATCTTGAACTCCAAATGTCTCTACTGCACTTAACCCATTTTAGGTATTTGGGGACTAAAACTCTACAAAACAAACCTACGGACTGGAAAAGCTCTGTTAAGTATTTTTTGGCTTCTAAACAGTCTCACACAGCAGTGTGGTGTCTTTGTGACACAGCATGTGATGCTGCACTGCAGTTTTGCTCTACTGGAAAGACTAAAAATAAGCACTAAACCACTAAACTAGTTTAGCATCCCTGTCAAGAGGTTTAATTATCTCTCCATTTGTTACAGTTTCAGTAGTCTCCTAAATAACCAGAATTTTCCTAAAACCTCCATGAGCAAAAGAAACCACTGTTACCTAGAGATATATATAGTTATATATATAACTATACTTACCTACTATATATGCATTAACTACCTCATTTTACTTCCTAGTGTTGGGATCACAAAGGCAAACCAGGTCCAGTCCCACTTGCAGTAGCCAGGGAGACATCCCAGCGCTGCTTTCTGCTCTGCTCTTTCCATCCCTCTTCCAAAACCAATGACTCAAGGTCTTGCAGCACCACCTGAGGATGACTACTGACTGAACAGAAACCCCAGGCTAAGAGGTTGTACGCAAATACTCCTGTGTGCCTCTGCAACCTCACTAAACTAGGCCCAGATGAAATTGTGCAAGTGAACCAGAGAGTGCCAATAGACCTTTTCTTTGCTTTGACAAGAGTTGTGAGATAAGAACATAAGCAGGGTAAGCCAAACTCTTACTTTGTAAAAGCCATGTTTGTGTGCTTCAGTGTCAAGTATGCCCAGCCTGCAAGTATGAACAAAACTCACTTCAGTCAGATAAACCACAGACTTGTCTGAGCATATCTCTCCTCCTATCATCTACTGCCACTGTAGAAATCTCAGAATTGGGGTTGTCCAAGTCTTGCCAATTCTTGGCCCATGGCTTGCATCTGATTTTTTAGCAGCAAAAAAATATTTGTACAAACTCAATGAGCTAAGGGTTTCATGAAAAACTTAATGGCTGGGGAGAAACGTTAGGAATGCTGCTAGCTTTAGTTTCTTTGAAACCAGACATTTACATAAAGGTCTCCTAAATGCTTCTTTTGGACCCTAAGTTATCAGTACTCCACAAGGTTTGGTTTATTTTTCCTTTCCCTATTGAAAATTATTGCCTAAGAAATAAAAAGAAGTCTCCTCATGGATGTGCATGCTAAGATTTATCTTCAATACTAAGATAAGAATCCTCAGGCATTTAAAATTCTCTCAAGAAATACTATGTCTCAAGTGTCTAAGTGCTTAGGGCTCTATATTTTTGGGCTATGTTTTGACTTAAAATGCTGACAGCCAGATAAAAGCCTTCTGTATGTTGTTTGAGAGATGGGACAGGGAGAAAAGTTAACGGCTGTATTTCTTTATGCCAATTTTAAAAAGAAAACACGAACACAAATTCCTTTGCTGTCCTGACACATGCTTTAAAATACCGTGAAAACACAACAGGTGAGAAACAAGTTTTCTTTTTCTGTGGTTCATGTAGAACCTGTCCCAGGCAGATACATACTCCCAGGTGGAGTCCATACATGGGCTCTGCTGACAGCCCAGGGAAACTGCTGTTACCAGGATATATTCAGGGACAAGCTGTAATTTAAAATTCAAGATGCATAACATTCACTATGAATAAAATGGAAACAATGAGAATTTTAAACAAGAGGCAAGTAAGTATTTTCTTGGATTCATTGTCTTTCCACAGTAAAGAACACTAAGGAACTTTTTTCCTAGTGTTTCACTTACTCCAAGGGAGTGATCTTTTGCCTAATAAATATTTATCTGGTGTCATGCTCTGTTAGCTGGTTGCAATGACTAAATTTAGAAAGGCTGTGATCCTTCTTCTGATGCTTCTTTTAAGCTCTACTGGGCAAGTAGAAGGCTTAGGAATTAAATGAGGTCATTCCAGTCCTAAGGGTGCTCTGAATTGTTTCAATGCTATTAAAATTTACACAGCTAATTCCTTTTCCTTCTTTAGTATCACTGAAATATTTTTATACCAAGTAGATTGCAGTTCATTAGTGATCAATAGAGTCCTCTAAATCATATTATGGGCTGTATTATGAACGAACACTGGTTTTTGTCTTCACTAGCAAAAAACATGTACACTTTTTTTGGGAGAGATGAATCCAAATCCCTTTCTTCATGTCCAACTCTAACTGGAGAGAAGATACTTTTTTTTAACTTAATGTTGAAGTTTTAACTTAAATTAGCTACATCTGAAATCAAATCCACCTGCAATATCCAGGTAAAGTTCTAGGTTCTGCATAATGACAGAAAGGCAATCTTGCCTTAGGCCATTGTGATATACACATATGAAATATAGTCAATATAAGTAAGTGCAGTAACACAGCTAAAAACCATTTAACATATTTTGTTTTGAATCAACATGAATATATGCAAATGAAAGGCTATTTGGTAATGGTTATTACTGCTTAGCTGACAGAAACAAACTTTGCTGAAATCAGCAAGTGTAGTGTGCTTGTTATTTTGGAAAGTTATCCCATCTGGAAAATAGAGTTTTAAGTGGAAAAATAAAAGGTGCTATATTTAATTCAGCCCCCCCCCTTTGATCAGAATAAGCAGCATGATAAGGAGTTGTTAAAAATCGTACTAATCAGCTTCATTTTTACCCAAAGCTTCAGAAAGAAATGAATGAAACAGGGATCCTCCACAAAATATATTTATACATCCACGACATATATAAAAATTCTCCCAGTCTCATCTTTTGTGCTAGTAAACCTGTTATCTTATTCCATATGATTATAATTTATGTTTTTAGTAATTTTGATAATGTTTCCTATCCTAGCAGTAAGTTAATTACCAGCACCTGGGAGTAAAAACAGCATGAACTGCAGGCCTGCTGCTCATGGAGCAGATAAAGCAGAATATGAAGACAGTGAAATCATATTAAGTCTGAAAGGAAGATGTCAGTAGTGCTAAGGGTGTAAGCGTCAAGGTCTCTGTTATTTAGGACAGATTACCAGAGGTATGTGGGTATTACATAAGAATTTAAGTATCCCTGGGATTTTTTGAAATGACCTAAGCAAGTTCTATGCCAACATTTATTCAGAATTTCTTTTGACTTCCTGGAATACTGAGAGAAGAGATTCTAGAAACAAAAGCATACAGACACTTTGGAACTAACAACTCCTTTCTATTATCACATGGCAAAACTTCCTCAGGGATGCAGGGAAAAAGGTCCTGATTTTTCAAGAGCATTTTTGTGGTTTTTTTTTACTTCTTGTTTAAGGATGATTTTCATAGCAATAATTTATATTATTAAATGTACTTCAAATGCTACCGAACTACCTAGTAAAATTACCTAATAATTAGCAACAAGATCCAACATTCATTGCTAATAATTCACTGTCATATCCATTGTAAGTAACTTCCATGCAAAGTAACTCTCAGCTCGTACTATTTCTGATTCTGCCTCTCACCTGAAGAACAGCTGTGCCACACAGACTATTTTTCTAGCTGCATGGGCTGACCTAATAAAGGATATTATTCTACCCACAAACCTGTCTTACTCCAAATACAGCTTCTGAGCAGGAAAAAGAAATCAAATCCTGGTGTTGTACTAAAAGCTGTCACCAAGCTGTGAACTGAATGTACTTTTACAAAACAAAAATGGAAGCCTGCACAAATTCTGTAAAATATATGTCAAATCCAGGAGATAAGAAGTATAATTTTGGTCAATTCTGTTGTTAATCCTACTGTAAAATGACTTGGCTCTTCAGTAATAGTCTGTTGAGCACAAATAACTGTAAACAGAAAAGCTGTAACTAACACCCTCATTAGTTCATAATAAATATTTAGAATATCATGATAAAGATTTAAAATGTGTTCATTTTTGTTTGTAAAAGCTACCTTAATGGTAGGTAGCTGGTGTACTGAGCCACCAAGCCCCTGGTACAGACCAGAAGTCCATCTGTCTTTGCAATTTTAATTATACAGTCACCAGGTTCCCAGAACTGTCGCTCAGCAGCAGAGAAATTTATGCATATTGTTATGCATTACAGACACCCTCCTTTTAAGTACAAAGTACTTGCACAGCTGAAGCATTTAAACATAGTAGACCATTGTTTTGTCCCCTTATTAACAAACAATAAAGAAATCAAGATGTGGAGGGGTGAACACAATTTATTTAAACAGAGAGTGATTCCCATTTGCTGAAACACTTCAGGTCAAGTAACTATCATTCCAATGTTGTTCTCATTCAGCAGAATCCAGTATGAATTCTCATGCTCTTTCTCTGGAAAGAAATTTTCTCTGTAATACCATGCTTTCACTTCCAACCCACAAATTCTTACTC